TCTTTAGGTCTTCTTGAAGGGTTTAGGGTTTAGGGCTTTAGGGATTTAGGGTTTAGGGTTCAAGGGATTCTGTTAAGGGATCCTTTGAAGGGTTCCTTTACGGGTTTACGGGTTCATTAGGTTTTGGGGTTTGGGGTTCAGAGGGGGTTTAGGGTGTGGGGGGTTCCCTTAAATGGTTCCTTTAGAGGTTTCTTTCAGGGTGCCATTAAGGGTTCCTTTGAGGGTTCTAGAAGGGTCTGTCATTTAGCGCTCTACAGGTTTTGTTTACGGGTTAAATTTCTTGATCTATAGGTTTCTTGAAGGGTTTCAATAAAAGGGGACTAGGGAAGAGGGGTTTCGGTGTTTTGGTTTGGGGGGCTTAGGGTTCTTGGGGACTTGGGGGTTTCAGGGTTTGGGGCTTTGGCAGTTTAGGGGTTTAAGGTTTAGAGTTCAGGTACTGTGGCTTAAACCCTAAACCCTAAACCCTGAACCCTAAACCCTAAACCGGCCCAACACATTGGCTGAAAGACTTGGGGCTGGCTTTTACGGGTTGACGAACTTGTAAAGGTTTAGGGTTTAGGGTTTAGGGTTTAGGGGGCTGTAGGCCTGACCGATTTGGTGAAGAGTGGAAGGCTCCTTTAAGTGCAACATTTCTGTGTCTAGCTGTCGAGGGGAGTGTGTCGAATGATACGACTGTATGCGGGGATGTGCTGTCACGACATCATCTTGTGCACTGTGAGGTCTTCCTGTCCACAGCATGGCCATTATCCGCGTGTTGTGAGTTGATGGATCCCACTGGTGCACGTCTGTTGGAGAGGCTGGATGCTTGAATCTCTTCGCCTTCGAGTATGTGAAGTCACCCATGCTCTTGGTCATCCACTTGATGTTGTCATCAGAGTAGCCTTTCATGACATACTTCAGTATTCTCCGCTGGGTGTCAGCATTGTACCCCTCCATTGACGAGACATTCCACCTGATGTCTGTGCAGGCTAAACCCAAAACCCTAAACCCTAAACCCCAAACCCTAAACCCTAAACCGTGATTGCAGTGCTTTCGGTTTTGGGGTTTAGGGTCTATAGGGTCTAGGCTTTTTTTATTCTTTGTAGGTATTTCTCACTGCAGTTTCGTCGGACCAGACAGGATGGCTCCCAAAGTCCTACCCTAAGGCTCAAAATAGCCCAAAGCCCTGTAATAGCATGGCCTCATTGTGCCCAAAAGTCTTAGAATGTGAGTCCTTAGAGCCCTCGGGCTAAAGTACTTAAGGCTGGAGACGTTTAGAGTTTGGCGCTCCCGGGAGCATGGCATGGCGTACGGTTTAGGGTTTAGGGCTTAGGGTTTAGGGTTTAGGGTGTGTGGAATGATTTACTGACCCAGAGGGTCCGAGTACCCAAATCGTGGGTTTTGGGTCCCTATATCCATACTATGAGTGGTCTTTGGGATGAACCCCTCGTATTTGGGCACTTGGACCCTTAGGGTTCAACGGAGCCAAAGAAACACCGCCCAGATCTCAAGTCGTACGAAAGAATCCTCTAGGTCTGGGTGGGGTTTGTTCGGGTTTAGGGTATAGAGGTTTAGGGTTTAGGGATTAAGGGCATCGCAATTTGCAAAGCACTAGGTTGTCTGGACCATTCTCGAATACCGCAAGGTCAGAATAGTGTTTTTAGGTACAGTGCAGCGATAATTATGCTGGGGGTATAAGGGAATATCACTCGTCCTAGCCCTAAACCCCTAAACCCTA